AAATATGAGTGAGGGGGCGCAAGGAGGGCACCTTGGTCTAGAAAATGACGTGAGGGCGTTTCAGTCTCCCGGGGTTCCTCGGTACTTAAGGCCGGGGTGATGCTCAGAGGACAGGAAAGGGAGGCTCGTCACTGGAGACGGGGGATGTCTCCCCTTTCCCTGCAGGTGAGCAGTGGGCGCTAATAAGAGCAGATGGGCGGGTGGGGAGTCTCCGCCGCTTGCCCTTCTCCTCTCGCAGCGACCCTTCCCTGCCGGCCGTCTCTCTCACCTGCCATGGCTGGAAACGACTGGAAATGGCGGCGGAGGGAGGCCCGTCGTCGGGCAGAAGCTGCGCTCCCTCGAACGGCGGCGGCGGCGGCTGAGGCGGCTGAAGCGGTGCGAGAAAGAGCGGCGTCGGGCAGTTCTGGCGGCCGCAGCGTGGAGAGGAGACGGTGGCGATGCTAAAGGGGAGGAGGGAGGCCGGCCAAGCACCGCCCCTCGCAAGATGGCGCCCACCACGGGCCCTCAGCCGGCTGGGTAAGCGCTCGGCCGGGGCTCCGCTTTGTGATGGCGACATGCGGCGGTGTGTGGTTGCCATAGCGCGGTTCTCTCGCCTCCTTCCCTCTCCTACCTCGGGCTGCCACGGGTGGTACAGAAGGGGGATGCGGCGGCGCCGGCAGGCTCGACTTTTGTGCGCCTGAGGGCTGTTTAAAAATCTCAGCTAGCTGTTGCGTCAATCCCCAGGTCAGCCGAGGCGATGGCGGTTTAAACTTTGCCTCCGTTGACACTCTATACCGAGGCCTGTTATTTTTCTCCAGCGGCCCTAGATACACTGTGAAAGGTAATTTCAAGAGGGGTGGGACAGCTGTGCATGCCATAGCCATGCATGAAGTTTAACAGCACACCAGGAGATCGGGAGGGAGGGCTTTTTTCCCCTTAAGGAAGCTTTTATAACCTACTATTGTCCAGAGGATTAATACTACTAACCCAGGTGGTGGGTCATTCTGACAGCGGCGAGAGGAAGGAAGTGTGCGGCGGTGTGTGGTTGCCATAGCGCGGTTCTCTCGCCTCCTTCCCTCTCCTACCTCGGGCTGCCACGGGTGGTACAGAAGGGGGATGCGGCGGCGCCGGCAGGCTCGACTTTTGTGCGCCTGAGGGCTGTTTAAAAATCTCAGCTAGCTGTTGCGTCAATCCCCAGGTCAGCCGAGGCGATGGCGGTTTAAACTTTGCCTCCGTTGACACTCTATACCGAGGCCTGTTATTTTTCTCCAGCGGCGCCGTTGCTGAAAAGATGCCCGAGTGATCGTGGGCAGCCAGAAATTCAGCAGGCGAGGGATCCAGCACACGCGATCCCATCGAGAAGCGGGAATTGTGGGAAGCTTCGCCGGTTGTGGTTCTGTTTGCTAAGAGGCGACCCCGGGGTGGGTGGGGGAGCAGCCCAGAAAAGGTGGGGGGGATGTGTCTGCTTGTGAGACGAACTACAGTTTCATGTGTATCTAAATATAGTGCAAAGTATTTGGAAGTCACGTCTTTAGAGGGTTTTTTTGTCCACAGATTCTTCTGGCAGCTCATCTGCCATAGCCAACCTCACAGAAAAGATGCTAGTAAAAAGGAATGAAATATGAGTGAGGGGGCGCAAGGAGGGCACCTTGGTCTAGAAAATGACGTGAGGGCGTTTCAGTCTCCCGGGGTTCCTCGGTACTTAAGGCCGGGGTGATGCTCAGAGGACAGGAAAGGGAGGCTCGTCACTGGAGACGGGGGATGTCTCCCCTTTCCCTGCAGGTGAGCAGTGGGCGCTAATAAGAGCAGATGGGCGGGTGGGGAGTCTCCGCCGCTTGCCCTTCTCCTCTCGCAGCGACCCTTCCCTGCCGGCCGTCTCTCTCACCTGCCATGGCTGGAAACGACTGGAAATGGCGGCGGAGGGAGGCCCGTCGTCGGGCAGAAGCTGCGCTCCCTCGAACGGCGGCGGCGGCGGCTGAGGCGGCTGAAGCGGTGCGAGAAAGAGCGGCGTCGGGCAGTTCTGGCGGCCGCAGCGTGGAGAGGAGACGGTGGCGATGCTAAAGGGGAGGAGGGAGGCCGGCCAAGCACCGCCCCTCGCAAGATGGCGCCCACCACGGGCCCTCAGCCGGCTGGGTAAGCGCTCGGCCGGGGCTCCGCTTTGTGATGGCGACATGCGGCGGTGTGTGGTTGCCATAGCGCGGTTCTCTCGCCTCCTTCCCTCTCCTACCTCGGGCTGCCACGGGTGGTACAGAAGGGGGATGCGGCGGCGCCGGCAGGCTCGACTTTTGTGCGCCTGAGGGCTGTTTAAAAATCTCAGCTAGCTGTTGCGTCAATCCCCAGGTCAGCCGAGGCGATGGCGGTTTAAACTTTGCCTCCGTTGACACTCTATACCGAGGCCTGTTATTTTTCTCCAGCGGCGCCGTTGCTGAAAAGATGCCCGAGTGATCGTGGGCAGCCAGAGATTCAGCAGGCGAGGGATCCAGCACACGCGATCCCATCGAGAAGCGGGAATTGTGGGAAGCTTCGCCGGTTGTGGTTCTGTTTGCTAAGAGGCGACCCCGGGGTGGGTGGGGGAGCAGCCCAGAAAAGGTGGGGGGGATGTGTCTGCTTGTGAGACGAACTACAGTTTCATGTGTATCTAAATATAGTGCAAAGTATTTGGAAGTCACGTCTTTAGAGGGGTTTTTTGTCCACAGATTCTTCTGGCAGCTCATCTGCCATAGCCAACCTCACAGAAAAGATGCTAGCAGGACTCAATGTTCCCTCTAAGCTGTGGAGTCTTGTGAGCAAAAATTCTACTTTGTGAGCCACTGGCATTAAAGTTGTGAGCGAGCGATTTGGTAACGGCATAAATCAGCCTGCTCTGGAGCCATCCTTCCTGAGCGAAGACAAAAATGTGTGAGCCAGAGGCTAAAAAACTGTGAGCTAGCTCACACTAACTCAGCTTAGAGGGAACACTGTAGCAGGTAGTAGTTGTAACAGCTAAGGAGCAATGTACAAGGTTGGGGTCCCGGGTGATAACTTACCCAACATGCATGCTTCCATGCTGTGGTAAGGCAGGGTTGGTGTGAAGAAATTCCTGCCAAAATTCTTCCCTCATGTCTGCAAGCTACACCTGTCACAATTCCCTCTTCTACACAACCTATAGGACTCCCAGCCTAGGTTGCATTTGTTCAAGATACAGGTACTGCACAAATAATATTCTTCTAAGTCTTCTCACAAAAAGCTTAAATAGCCAGACAAATTACAGCAGGCAACTCTGAGGGTTTTTAAAATCACTCCTATGTAAGTATCTAGTTGAGAAATAATAGCTAGGAAACAGCTTGTCAAATCTGTCAACCAAAAGATTGGTTAAACAACATGGACAGTTGGGTTGCCAACCTTTAAGTGGCACCTGGTGATCTCCCCCTATTATAATTGATCTCCAGACTGGAGACTCTGTATGACCAAGATCAGTTCCCCTGGAGAAAATGGCTGCTTTGTAGGATTGACTCTGGTATTATACACTGCTGAGGTCCCTTCCCTCCCCAAGCTCCACCCAAAAATCTCCAGATATTTCCCAACCCAGAGCTGACAACCCTAGTTCTTGCAATAAAGAAAAATAAACAGTGGGGTCCCACAAGGATCATTGTTGGGACTGTTATTATTTAATTTATTCATAAGTGATCTGGAACTGGGGGTGGGCAACATTCTTCAGAATGGTGAAAACCAAGGCCAACTATGAAGAGCTCAGGAGGATTTTTCAGATTGGATGAGTGGGCAGCATTATGACAAATGAAGTTGTAAACTGATGTAGGTTAGAACAAGAAATACCAACTTCACATATTTGCTAAGGGGGTCTGAACATGCTGAGATTGAACAGGAAAGAAACCTTGTGGTCACAGTGGATAGCTTAATGAAAGTGTCAAGCCAGTGGGCTCCAGCAGTGAGTGAATGAATGAATAATTCATTAATTTCCACGACCAGATACAAGTTCATACAGTAAATCATATTGAAAGTATAGATCAGGGGCTTATATCAGGCTTATATCAGGCTTACAGTGGAACTTGCTGTCTTCTGTTTCTTCTTCCAGTTCTGCTGCTGCTGCTGCGTCATCATAGGTTTGCAGCTTACAGATACACACCTGAACAGCATACTCAAGATTGCAACAGCACAGACATTTTGGTGCAATAATTCAGAGCAAGAGGTATCAGTTATCAGACACTGATAAATAAATAAAATATTGCAAGAGTGCTAATGTTTTAAGCATGTTTTTATTTTAAGTAAAAAAACAAACCACCTTTGTGTTTGTGTCCTTTATAAAGTTTATATCTCTGCTACCTGGCATTACATTTTATGACACACATGGCCCGGCCCAACAAGGTCTCATTTTTGTCAGATCCAGACCTCATAACAAATGAGTTCGACACCCCTGGTATAGATGTTACAACTCTCCAATTAGAAGAGCAGATATTATACTGGAGTAAAATACATATAAAAGCTAATTAAAATAATTAGAATACATATAAATTAATAAGATAACATCATAAAACCATGTAATTATAAACCTAAAAGTTAATACAGGCACCCCATCAGTGAAAAAGACAAACTCTGTCCTTGGGATTATTAGGGAAAAGATTGAAAATAAAGTGGCCAATATTATAATGCCCATGTATAGATCTATGGTGTGGCCTCATTTAGAATACTGCATGCAGTTCTGATCACCGTATCTCAAAAAGAGCATTGCAGAATTACAAAAAGTAGAGAAGAAGGCAACCAAAAGGATTAGGGGGTTGGACTGAAAAGTCTGGCAGGCATGATAGAAATTTATAAAATAAGGTATGGGGTGGACAATGGACATAGAAAACTTTTTCTCTCTTCCTCAAAATACTAGAATTCGAGGGCATCCAATGACGTTAATGGGCCACAAATTCAACACTGACAAAAGGAAACTCTTCTTTACACAACAAGCAATTAAAATGTGGAATTCATTGCCAGAGGATGGAGCAACGGCCACAGGCACTGTTTTAAAAGGGGCTGCAGAGATTCATGAAGTTAAGCTACTAGCCATTGTGAATAGAGGGAAACTCCATATTCAGCGGCAGTAAACCTCTGAATACTGGTGCTAGAAGGCAACATCAGGGGAGGCCTTGGCCTCTATGCCCTGTTGCTGGGCCTGATCCAGCAGGGTTCTTCATATGTTCTTATGACAGTTTCTGAGCATTCCAGGTGATTACAGAAAGCTGAGTGAAGTGTTACATACTAAGTAAGCGAGAAATTGTCTTTTTTAGAGCAATTCAATCTCAAATGCTGGAAGTATACTTTCAAGTTGCACAAGAGAATGAAAAACCCAAGATAACCTAGGATTTGGCCCTTCCCACTTCAACAATACTATCAAGGAATTCAGTTCAGTACTAACCTTTCCCTTTAGGCCACACTTGTAGCATTGTTCTTGATTTCCAAGATAAATTTGACTGATTCCCAAGATAAATGTGGCTGACCAGCCAAACAGGTTTGGAGAATTCCTTGTCTAAGTGCCCTTCAGCAAATGTCTTCATCAGTAGGTTGTATCCCCTGATTGAGCCAGAGCCTCCCCCGTTGTTGCTGCTGAACTAGGAGGCAAGGCAGCCATGATATCTCACACTCGTGAGCTGCATGCCATCACCCTGCAGCAACACACCCAAAGTCCTCATTATACAAGGTAGAAGTGGCACAAAATGGACTGGAGAAGCTGGGGCTGCCTTCCAATTCAGCCAGAGTAAAGGTAAAATATTAATTTCTGAGTGAGGTACAACTTGTCAATGCTATCCTGAAGAGTTGGGGTTCACAATGGAATATGAGGTCCATATTCTTCATAGCAATTTGAGCCATGAAGGTTGCAGTCGTAAACATACTAGCTTTGAATTAACCCCATTGCTTCCAAGTAAATATCTATAGGCTTGGGGCTGTCTCCAACAGTGCCATCCTAAACAGAGTTATACCCTTCTAAACTCATTGGCTTCAATGACTTCAGCTCTCTTTGGCACTGATAAACTGCCCTTTGATGTTCTCTTATCTGCATTTATTAGGGGGGCTTGTTATTATCACATGCTGAATCAGAGGCAAAATCATCCCCATTCTGGAAGAGTACACAAATATAATCTGAAGCACAGTTCAAGTGTTCTTTCCCATGCAAGTGCATAGATTTGGCACTTCAGAACTGCTGTTTGTATTGGCTGCTCAGTAAGACCACAGTTCTAACAATACTAATTTTCATACGTCGATATGGTCTTTGCAAAGGAATTATAATATTTGAAGTGGCCTTCAGGGGGAAAAAGAGAAATGTTCTCTAGGCCAGTGGCATCTGCTTCAGTCCACTACATCATTCGACTCTGACCTTCAGTTGATCTTTCAACCACTGCTAAATATTTGCTGTTGGCAGAGAATTCAGTTACTTCTACACTATTACTTATTATAAGATAATAAGAGCCTGCCATGAGACTCAGAGTACAAGAAGGGTGTACACCAATACAGAAACGTGCAGAAGACACTGAACTCTCTCAGGAGACACCAAGCTGCTTGAAGATATCACAGTGATGTACCCAAGCACCCCTCTCTGTGTGAGAGAGGACTATATAAACATAATTAAAACAGAAAAGGACTACAGATTCCACAGTTTGTAGCAGAATGATCCTATTAACTTGCAAAGGATCCTGCTCTTCTGCCTTGATCATTTGGTAGGATGTTCCACTGAGGTCACTGGGATTTACTTCTAAATTAAGGGTCCATGATAGCATCTGGTGATGACTACTGCACTGGGCTGTTGGGTCTACTTTTCTCTGCCCTGCAGTGCTAAAAGTACAAAGTAAAAGATAGCTGACTAATCAAAGTTGATATGGAGATTCAGGAAAATGTTAATTTCATACCATCCCAGATGTAGGGTGTCTACAGATACCATATTTACCTAAAAGGAAGACAAACCTGAATGTAATGTAACTCCCATGAAAATGTTACACACACAAAAAAAATATTACTGTCCATAACTGTAATTGTATGTGAATGTAAGATGACCACCCCTTTAATGGCATGCTTGGGGGGGAATTAGTAAATACTGTGTTTTACTTCAACTAGCATAGAGTGGGGAAAATAGGAACAATAGTCTTTGCTACCAGCATGGCTAGGATCCAGAGAACTAGTTTAGGTGCACTTCAGGGTCTGTAGGCACTTAGTAGGATTTTGGACTTTCCCCCCTTTTTACATCATAAATGGTTGTTGAAACTCTCCTGATTTTTAAAAACAGTCCAGTGTGCAGTGTAATAGGTACATGAGGGTAGGAGTCAAAGCTGTCATTTAACAAATGTAAATCCAGCACCATTTGAGTATAAAGAACTAACTGCATAATTCTTTGGCACCTAGCCTCTATCTCCTAGACCAGAGAGAAACAATTTGGGAAGAGGGGGCAATATGATTTATCATCCAGCTGTTTGGAGAGCTGGTTCATTAGTGGTGGTCATAATGGTCATAATGTCAGGGAGCACTATCCTACAGACTGTTAATTTGATTATATTTTATATTGCCCAGTGATTTATACTGCCTAGTATAATTTACTTCAGAAAACACCTGTAGCCAGCCCACTTATGTACCTGATTGTCCCTGCTTAAAGAGCCACAATGAAAATGTACTGCAGGTGGGCAGTAGCACAGCACTGTGCCATGGGGTGTTCACCATTAGTCTACCTTGGTCACCTTGACTGAATATTTGCTTATGTAGGCCAGAAATGATATATTGTCATCTGGATCGGCACACAGGGAACACAACCCTTAGGGAGAATGCAAACCTTCACAACAGCAGAGAAGGAGAAGACAGCACAGTCTTTGCTACCAGGATGGCTAGGATTCATCCCAGAAAAGGAAGGGAATCTCTCTAGTGGCATAACACAGGAAGCATACACAAAAGGACCTTTACTCCTTTACGTGATGTCATATGGGGGACAGTCCTCCTCTCAGGTTTGACCAGCCATTGGGCAATACAGCCCTTAACTGCAGACGCTAATCCTAGTTAACAACACATACAATATCTACTCCGAGACTTATAATTAGGGATACACTCCTTGTGAAAGCTTGGGTTGTTGGGTGTCCATCGGGCATTGGTCAGAGGTTGGGAACATATACCATGAAGTCATCAGAAGCAGTATGTTCCAACAACTCTGTTGCATAAGAACTTGGACGCCAGGCAAGTAGTATCTCCAGGAGGGGAACTATTTTGTAAATCAAAACCAAGAATAATCCACACTGAACACATTTGTGCAAATAACATGATCAAGGAAGTATCTAGGCATTGCATATTGTACCAAATATTGCAGGGTTAAAATACAAATAGCATAATTCTAGCTAGCCTACACTGCCAGTATTCAGTTGGAACTGCATGCTGACAGAACAAAAGCAATTTCTTCTGGACTGAAGACTAATTTGATTACTAGGTAGGAAAGTTGGCAGTAAAAAATACTGCTTACCATTTCTACAACATTATGAGAACCTTTCTGCTCACTCTGGGCTTGATTGATCATCACATATTAGACAGCTCAAATCAAATTCATTTAGACTTCCCTGTTATTGCTGTTGCCTGATTGTATAATCCTTGTTCTCTTTGTGTTTGTATCTCAACAGGGGACTGTATTAGCATTTGTCTGTTCTACAGAAAAGAATGTTAATTTTCATTATCAAGCACTCCTTGAATATTTCAAGTAAGTTTCACTTCAAAATCTTACCATCAGTTAGCATCCTATCAAATATCACCAATTGAAAATGGAAATTCAGGTCTATTTTGACCCATGTTATTGTGAACCAAAACATGAGATTATTCTGTACATATACTTTTGAATTCAGTTAATTAATTTGAGTGGAGGTAATAAGTTGGTGTGTGCTTATTTTGTCATTGATAGTATTGTTGATTGTTTGTTATAGTAAAAAATGTTATGCCTTAACAAGTACAATTAAACAATGTTACCATGCACTCCAATATGACCAGTTTTGAGTTTTATTTTTGGTTATCATTTAGTTGTCAAAGTCATCCTGTTTTTTAAGCCTCTTTAAAATGGCTTAGTTTTACCATATGAAGGAAGAAGTAGACCATATCGCTGAGGATAAATTAGAATGCAGCTGGATTTACGGATAGATAGAAACAGATGTTTCTCTTCTCAATAGATGTAAGCAAAGAAATTGATTAAATAAGTGGACGTAATGATAGGTTTGTTTTGGAGAGCGTAATGTTTCTATACTTGATTAATTCCTGGAAACTGTTACCTTTGGCCACATTTATTGGGATAAGCAACAATGGGCTCAGATTTATTCCTTAATTCTCCATGCACGCACTTGGAAGTAAGTGCCATTAATTTAAGTGAAAGTTATTCAAGCAGATCTGCTGAGGACTGCATAACCTGGGAGGAGTTTTATTAAAAGGATGCAAAACCACATCAGTTCCCCTTTCTAAAAGCAATTCAACATGTATTAAAATATTTATATCCCACATCTCCTTAATTTCAGACAGCTAAGAAACAAATCAAAACAGCAAATCTACAAAATAAAACTGTGAACTTAGAACAAACAGCCATAAAAACAGCTTAGCAAGAACAACTGGGACGAATAACAGCCAGAGCTTATGACAAAAGAAATAATCAAGAACATCATCCAACGCAAGCCACTTCCTCTTGGTATGATGGCATTCACTATGATGCAATTGGACTTTCTGATAATTATACCACAATGTTTATACCAACATAGCACATCTGCAGTTTTTAAAGGAAGAAATCTGTACTGTATGGAAAATACAGTATGAAGAAATCTGTACTGTATGAACAATGCACACCATTCTAAACTCCTTGGAAAATCCAGAAGCAACTCAACTGTAATGAGATGAGAGGGCATTCTGAAAATCCTGAAAATTATAATCAAAATATTTTTAAAATTGTTACTATGAAAAGAAAATCAGATTTTTATGGCCTGTAAAGTAAGAAGCAGAAGACATGTAAGAATAGATCTAAAAGCCAGATAGGGCACAAAACTTTGTAGTCACATCTTTTTTTAGCATAGGCGTTCAGAATTAAAGAGACCAGCGTGAAGGCCAGTATAGACGTCTTGGTGAAACAAGCCCCAAGTCTGCACCTTAAGTCCCAAAGATCTTTATTTAAAAGAAAAAAGAATCCAGCCTTCCCAGGGACTGAAAACTACAATAAGGATTGGCTAAAGAGACTCATCCTGGGCCAATACAAAAAAAGTTAAAGACTGTCAGTCACAATATGTATGTAAATCAGATTTGGGAACTTGTTGTCAATAGAAGTGACTGAACTTGAGGCTCATGGTTTATTCATGATTTTAGTTTGACTAAAGATATAGGTAACCTCACCTCATACTTGTAGAGTGGTTAGGAAGGAAAAGCATTTCCCACGTTCATCACATCAGCATAATCCTGAAATGTATTTAACTAGAATTGTGGAGACTTAGGTTCAAATTTACACCCTGCCATAAAGCTTCCTGTGTGATCTTGGTCCAGACACTTTTGCTAAGCCTAAACGGTCTCACGGTGTTGTTGTGAGGATAAAACAAAAGAAGAGAGAACCAGCCCAGAACCATGTTTTCCATCCTGAGTTCATTGGAAGAAGGGATGAATAAAAATGTAATAGCAACAAACTGGCAATTAGAATGGGGAAGATTAGAAAACAAAGGATTATAAAACCAACATAGAGGAAGGAATATAAAGTGTGAGTCCAGTTTGGTGTAGTGGTTAAGTGTGCGGACTCTAATCTGGGAGAACCGGGTTTGATTCCCCACTCCTCCACTTGCACCTGCTGATGTGACCTTGGGTCAGTCACAAGCTCTGGCACAGCTGTCCTTGAAAAAGAGCAGTTTGTGTCAGAGTTCTCTCAGCCCCACCCACCTCACAGGGTGTCTGTTGTGGGGAGGGGAAGGGAAAGGAGTTTGTAAGCCGTTCTGAGACTTCAAGTGAAGGGCGGGGTATAAATCCAATCTCCTCTTCTTCTTCTCTTAAGACCAACAAAGTTTTATTCAAGGTATAAGCTTTAGTCTATATCTGAAGAAGTGTGATTGCACATGAAAGCTTATACCTTGAATAAAACTTTGTTGATCTTAAAGGTGCCACTGGACTCACACTTTGTTCTACTGCTTCAGACCAACACGGCTACCCACCTGGATCTATCATAGAGGAAGGAAGAGAGATTCGTTGACCATGACTGTTTGAGTGCTTCACATGTCTTGGGGTACTTGCGAGGAGACAGTCCTGCTTGGAGACATGGGCTCCCCCTTGCTGTGTGAGGTGCTTTGCCCTTGTAGATTCCTGGTAGGTGTTTTGTCTGGAATCCTGAGACCTAGTACCTTTAAGAGGTCTGAAATGATGAGTAGTGTTCCTCTTCCCTTTTTTTAATTTGCTGTTTGTTGTTTGTGCAAAATGCCCTTTCGCCAAAGTTCTCACTACTATGCACCTAGTGCTTTAGACCTGGAGGGGGCATTGGTGGTAATCTCCATGCAGTGCATCTTGATAGGTGAACTGTGTTCCCATGCTAGGACTCTTGAATTGCTGTCGGTGTGGTGTGACTGGCTGCTGAGTTATCAGTTGGAATCCTGTTCTCCAGGGATGGTGGTGGGGAGCAGAATTGCAGGGGAGGAAGCTGGGGACCGTTAAATGGAGCTGTCCATTCACTGGAAAAGTTTAATTTACTTACACCTCCGCTTCTGCAGGCATAATGTTGTGCTGTTGAGGCAACTGACTCTAATCTAGAAAAGTACTTTGAAGAAGCTTTGCCTCCCCTGCACCAAGTCTCCAGATCTGTCAATTTGCCCTTCTTATGTAGGTGTGTCATTGTGTTAAGGATAATCAAGTACACCAGCAGGCCACTGTAGTTTACACTGTTACCCTATGCAGCGTTACTCATGTCTAAGCTCATTCATTTAAATGGATTTAGACTACAGCAACATTTTACGGGTTCATACCCATGTGCATCTAGCATAGCTCAGTGTTAATCTGACACAGAGAAGAAAATGTTGTGTCTAAAGGTCTCCTAGTAGATAAATAGCAATCAAGAGATATGTGTTATCCCCATTTTACAGGTAGATAAATGGAGACAGAGAGAGTGTGACAGTAGCCAACCTAGGAGACAATGGGAATAGGTAGGAGATTGCCCTGGCTTTTTCCCCCTCAAGACAAACACTCTTACGGTAGCTTTTTGGCACCGGAAAAAGGCCACTATGTAAAGCACTTTCTGCTGCAAGTAAAAACTTCAGATTGACACACTCAGCTTGCATTTTAAAAAAAGAAAAGAAAAGCACCCTGAGTCACTCTGACAATTCCATCAGAAGCTGGCTGTCTTCATGATGACATGGTCTTCATGATGACGCTGTCCTTGACCTTATGGACCAAGCAACACAGAAAAAAATTCAATGAAGCAAGCAGCAATAAAAAGTGCTCAGTTAATTGATTAAAGACTCATGGGTTAAATGACAGGAAGCAGAGAGCAGGAGTAAATGGCCAGTTCTCAGAACAGAAGTGAACTTTGGGGTCTGCCAGGGATCTGCATTAGGACCAGTGATATTTAATTTGTTTATAAACAATCTAGAGCCGGCAGTGAACAGTGGAGCCAAGATTGTATGGTGAAAACCAAAATAGATTGTGAGTAGCTCCAAAATAATCTCTTCAAATTGGGTGAGAGGCAACAAATGATAAGGTGTGAGCAGGCAATGACTGACCAGGAATAAGATCTTGTGGAGGGGGTCATCCATGGAGTGTTGATTCAGTGTGTGTCAGCAGTAAGAAGCAAACTATGTGCTATGTTTTATTACTAAAGAGACTATATTGTATTGCCCTTGTAAAAAATATATGGTGCAACTGCATTTGGAATACTGTGTGTACCATTCTGGTCACTGGAAAAGGTGCAGAAAAGTACAACCAAAACAAGCAAGGAATTGGCACACCTTCCCTGTGACAAACGATTAAGGAAACTATGGCTTTTCAGTTTAGAAAAAGAGATGACAAAGGGACATGACAGATGTTTATAATATTTTATTTTTAGATCAAAGCACCACACAGGTACTTAGTAAGCCATACAAAGGCTGCAAAAAGTATACACAAATTAGACAGTATCATAATAAAATTAAGCAGCATAATCAGATAAAAATGTTTCTTACACTACTCCATATAGTTTAAAATAAATGTTCCTGCCATACACTGAAAACTTACATAGCTCTGAACCTCACTTATGATGGAACCTTGCAGACATGATGCCTCTGCAGCTTCAGGGCTGTAGCTGTAAAGGCCCTTCTTCTAGTGGCCCTTGTTACCACCAATGGCCTGCCCTGTTGTTGGGGGAAATTAGCTAGGCAGCAGGGGTGCCAGAGGGGTGCCAGGGATCGCACACCTGTTTATACCAAGGTCCACTACAGTAGGAAGACTTCAGATCTGAAGAGTAAATTAAATAGTTTTTATTGAAGAATTTCCCTAATTACAAGCACACTAAGCATTCAAGAAAAGAGCACACAATGCAGAGCTAAGAAAACAGAGGTGATGATAGAGAACAGCAGGGTCAGTTGCGGGGGTTATACGTGTCCAGATGTGCAGAGGTCCACGGATAAGAGATTATGGTCCAAACACAGTTTGGGGGTGAACTGCCAGTTGGCATCCGGGCAGACACACAGTCGAGGCCATGTGCTTTTGTGGATGTAGGCATAAGAAAACAATGCAGACCAATGGGAGGCCTTGAGGGGCTTGCCTCAGGTGAAGAGAAAAGATTATCTGGACCAATAGGGGGTTCCAGGGCTGTGACACCAGGAGGAGCAAAACCTAGGTGTGACCAATAAAGTCACAGGGGGGCAAAGTCTGGATTCACAATAGCATTGATGAGATTAGCCAAGTGCTAGATGGCTCTACTGGAGCTGTCTGAATGGGTTTGATGACCACTGATGGTCCTGACAAGGCAAGTTGAATAGGTTTCCAGGTTTACACAAAAGGTGAGAAATGATTCCCTGATTAGTGTCAGGAAGGATCATTTAAAATGTGAATGATTGACTGGTTTATCTCAGTATCCTGAGGGATGGAGCAAGAAGGACAGGTGTGGAGACAAAGGATTTATAGAAATAACATAAAAGGGACTATGTGCAGGTTTGGGGACAGAAGGGCTACTCGCCAGGTGGCCACTGGATAGCTTTAGAAATACAGACTGTACCTGGTGGAACTCAGCATTGTTTCATATGCAGACCTTGCTGGGAGGAGGAGGATATTGTAGATTGTCTTGGAGGGCTTCATTGCACAACCTGAAATTGAAACCCCCTTTCAGGGCTGTGACTAGCTCTGTGTTTTCAGGCCAAGAGTGCCTTCCTTGGCCTGAGTTTGTGGGTCTCTGGTTCAGGTCAGAAGTGAGGTGCCCCACTATTTAGGACTACCCGTGAGTAAGGCAGCACCTCTGGGCTATACCATTTCTTGCGTTGTATAGGTAGATAGTAACTGAAGCAGTACCTGTTTTGACTGACACAGATATCAGCAGGGCTGGTATAAGACAAGACAGTTTCTTAGGGCTGTGGGTCCCAAGCCAAGCAGAGAATTAAAGGTCAAATCCAGCCTCTTTAATTGAGCCCAGAAGCAAATTGGCAGCTAGGACACGTGATGAAACAAAAACTTCCTGTCTCTTAATGGACACTGTGCTCAGCTTCTAAGTCATCTTAAAGGCTGTTCCATGTAAATTAAACTGCAATAACCCAGCCTGGAACCACGGTAATTCAAACCAAAAGAACAAACACCTTCTTATCTTGGATATCACTGTGGGTATGGCTACTGCAGTGTAAACAACCACACCCTTTCTCTGGACCCAGTACACACTTGCAACAAGTGCAACCCCCATCCTAGCCATATGATCTCATGTTTCATGGATGAAAAATGTCTAGTATCTTTCAGAAATAACATGGGCAAGGAGGGGGTTTCTTAGGGTCACTGAGGAACCCAAGCTATTGGGAGCTTTATAGGTCAAAACCAGCTCCTTAAACTAAGCCTGAAAGGCTAAAGGAATCCAGAAGAGCCTCTGGCCTATTGGAGTCAAGTGCTTGAGGACCTTCCTTTGTCACATTCAGTGCCACTTTGGCAGTTGCCAACAAATCCTCAAGGACCAACTATGTTTTATTTATTTAAATCATGTCAATCCAGCTATTCTACTCCAGACAGTTTATAGGATTAGCAAAACAACAGTAAAAATAATTGCAGAGGGGTAGTCATGTCAGTCGGATACAACCAAAATAATCAAACTATAGAACCAGTATTGACTGCAGACACCAGCCCATGGACAAAACTCAAAGTTCATCCAATGCAAGCACTGTTGTACTACTTCTGGGAAATAATTCTACAGTTGTGAGGCTACCCTAACCTTCCCACTATTATTGCTGGGGACAACTGGTTGGCCATTGTTGCAAATCGGGTGCTAAATGCACCCTTGGCCTGGATCCAACATAACTTACATTGTATATCTGAGTCCTTTAAATGAGAACATAACTGGGCAAAAGGGCAGTAACCACGTGGCTGAGAGAACATTTAAATAGCCCAAACTCTAATGTGGGTTTCAGTTCTCTAGGAAAGGCCCACAAGATCTTCCTACCTGTATATCTAGTGCATTTTATTCCACCCCTGCTCCAAAGAGTTCAGGACAGCATACATTGTTCTCCAGGGTCGCGTCGTAGAAAA